CCGGGGAGCCGGGCCGGTGGGGAGCGAGGGTCAGGCGGAAGGAGCACGGGGGCCGGGACGCAGGCTGCGCGGTCGCGTCCTAGAGGAGAAGCGGAGGTGGGCGCCCGAGGGAGCGCGTGGGGGGACGGTGGCGGGCCTCCGGAGGGCGGGACGCGGGGAGCGTGATGGGCCCCGCGTGATGGGCACGCGGGCGGGCTCTGCTCCTCGCGGACCTGTGGTGCGACGTGGCAGGACGATGAACAGGCGTTAGCCCACCCGCCCCGCCGCAGATGCAAAGCTGGTTCCGAGCATGGCTTAGATCCGAGATCCAGAGGGCTGTCACACCAACGAACCGCCCAGCTTCTGGCTCCGCTGGACAACAGCGGCCTCCGGGCCATGGAGCTGCCCCACCAAGTGCCAATGAGAAGACACTCTCAGCCTACAGAGCCCAGAAACTACCCAGAGGAGCCTGAGCACACCTGACCCTATCTGCCCCCCCTCCCCCGCCCCCCGGATTCACCAAGTCACTTACCGGCCTGGAGGTGGAAAATGGGCTGGAGGTTCTCTCTGGAGACGCCCCACCCCCACCCCCGCGTGGAAACTGGGAACAAGGGCTCCCACGCGCACGGACATTGAACTGAGTCTGGCCAAGCTAAGGGAGAAAGGTTTCAGCTGGAACAGTTTGAGTTTTGAAATCCTACTGGACTGGACCTTTTATAAATAAATAATCCTCTTTAATATCTAAGAAAGAAAGGAAAAAACAAAAATCTATTTGAGAATTCACAGATAAGTTTCTAGGGACAGTAAATAAAAATAAAAATATGCTCCTCTCTGCCTGCACCTACCAATTCCAGCTCGGGTGATAAACTGGATACAGAAGACTCCGACATTTTTGGTAGGGGCAACTGGGAATGTGGTGATGTCACCTTCTAAAGAAGGGAAGGTCTGAAGGAGACTTTCAACTTAGTTTGGGGGACATGTTAAGGTAGATTCCCATTAGACATTCAAGTGGTTATGTTGAGTAGGCTAACTTTCTAGAGAGGGGTCAAGGTTAGAGAGAGGACTTTGTGAGTCACCTGTTTTCAGGTGACGTTTGAAAACATAAGATTGGAAGAGATCAACTGGGGAGTATTCCAAAGAGAATACTTTCAAAGAAGGACGAGCTCTGGGGCACCAACCGTTTGTCGTCTAGAGGAGAAAACCCAGAGAAGCCAAGGGAAGACATAGTGATCTGTGCAGAAGTTTTGGAGGGATTGTACAATGAGGTCTGAGAAGTGATTAGATGTGGGAAAACAAATTAATGACTTAATGAGCAGTCTCAGATGTGAGGAGAAAAGCCCCATGGCAGTTTTAAACAAAAAGAGGGGAGGGAGGATCTACAGTTAAACATGCCGTATTGAGCACAGGCATTGACTCCCGATTCCCACCCAAACCCACTTACACAGTAAGAGAGACCAAAACTCACGGTGGAAAATGGGAGGGAATAAATGAGATCGACAAAGGTACAGAGGCCAAGAACACCAGTAGCGGTAACTCACTCAGCAAGCCAGAGAAAACAGAAGGCGATGTACGGGGGTGAAGCCATCGGGAAGATACCACTCCTATCACGGAACCCCAGGAAGGCGCAGAAGGGGGAGGACTGGTAGAAGGCTTGAACAGGAGCAGTGTGACGATAGACCTTTTCCCCTACCTGGGTGGAAGCCTGCAGCAGTTGAGTCAGCACAGGTGAGAACTCAGGCACAAGGCATAGTGAGGGCCGCTGAAAGCAGGGGGTTGAGTGGGAGCCCAGCCACACTGACCCCACTCGGCCATATAGCTTTCGGGCAGTAGTGGGAGAATTTCTCTGGAGGTAACGGCCCCCCAGAGAGACCTGCGAACATTGGCAGCTGGGACCCAGAGGAAGAGCAGAGAAGCCTATCAGCTGGCAGGCTTTATCCGTTGACACAGAGCTTCCAACAACCTCCTCGGAGCCCCACTGTCAACGTGAGCCAGACATTTGAGGAAAACCTCTACCACAAAATGTAGCAACACAGAAAACAGAAAGTTTGAGGAATGGAGATGACACAAGGTGTGGAAGAGGAGCTTGACGAGAGACAGGCTGCTGTACCCACGAAACAAAAGCCATCTGACACGCCCCTTCCCCTCCCGCCTCGTTCTCCTCCATGCCTATCACCGATCAGCATACCAAACGGTTTTCATATTTACCTTGTTTATTGCCTCTCTCCCCACTAAAATATAAGCCTCGTGAGTGCTGAAATTCTTGTTTGCTGCTATATTGCCAGTACCTGAAATAATGCCTGGCATGCAGTAGATACGTCAGAGGTATATACTGAATAAATGAGTGAACAGGATTCTCTAAATAAAAAACACTAAGAAAAAACTCTTAGAAATAAGGCTGCATATTTTAAAAGTCACGAGAACAGGAAAATGGAGAAACTTTTGGATAATAGGAAAAAAAGATAAAGATATAAAAAACAGAAAATTAGATCAACCCAGGTGGTCAAACATCTGAACATTAGGAGTTCCAAAGGGAAATAGTGGAGGGAAAGAATATATTAAATAATTTCCAAAAGTTTCCAGAATTTGAGGATAATTTTCCAGGTTGAAGGGAATGGCAGATTATTTTTTTTTATATTAAGATGAGTTTTTTTCCAATTAGTTGGCATTGAATATTATATTAGTTTCAGGCGTACAGCATAGTGGTTAGACATTTACATAATTTACAAAGTGATCCCCCACTAAGTCTAGTACCCACCTGACACCAATTATTATAATGTCACTGACTATATTTCGAATGCTGTTCTTTGCATCCCCGTAACTATTTTGTAACTACCAATTATACTTCTTAATCCCTTCACCTTTTTCACCCAGCTCCCCACCCTCCTCCCATGTGACAACTATCAGTTTGTTCTGTACGAGTCTCTGGTTTGTTCATTTATTTTGTTTTTTAGGTTCCACATATAAGTGAAATCATACAGTCTTTCTCTGTCTGACTTATTTCACTCAGCATAATACCCTCTAGGTCCACCCATGTTGTCACAAATGGTAAGATCTTATTCTTTTTTATAGCCAAGTAAGAAGTCCAACTACCCTGAGGCCACCTTACTTGAGGAAGCCGAGTCACATGGTGAGGTCACAGGTAGCCACTAGGGTTAAAAGCTGCAGCTGAGCCCCCGGCCAACCACACAACATCAGCTGCAGCCATGTAAGTGAACAGTCTGGGACATCCAGCTTAGTCAAGCTTTCAGATGATTGCAGTCCCAACCAATACCTGCCGGCCACCACAGGAGAGATCCCAAGAGAAAGCTGCCCAGCTGTTCCCCAAATTTAAGCTACTGTGTTTGAGTAGTTTGTGACACAACGATAACTACTGAGAAAAAACAAGCAAGCAAGCAAGCAAAAAAAACACTACTAAATGCCCGGCACAATAAATTGGGCAGAGAGTAAGGGAGGAGACCAACACATCACGCATGTTGGTGAGAAATTTGAGAACACTACAGATACATAGGATCTTAAACTTCCAGCAACAAAAAACCACAGAGCAGTGACTTCCAATCTAAAATCCACTTTCCATTTAAATGATTAGTCAAACATAAGAGTAGAAATAAAGATATTTTAGATGTGCAAGCTCAGAGGCTACTAGAAAATGGGCTCCATAAAATGAGAAAGCCAACCAAAGAGGAGGAAGATGTGACTCAGAATCTAGCAAATGTCCAAGCTGCGGCTGAAAGATGGGGGTTTCTCGGGGGTGGGGGTTCCCGGGGGTCGCTTCCACAAGAAAAGTAGAGCTAGCACATTTCCTGATGCACCTGACCGTGAGGGGAGGAGCTTTACACTTAGGGTGGACAGTTTCAGGAGAAGCCCTGATAGGAACACACAAAACCAAACGAATGGAAAAACAAGGCAACTGACTCCAGGAAAAACAAAGTGGTACCGAAAGGAAATGTCATCATAAAACAAAACCAGGCTGGACCACAAACAGTATTGACAGTCACACTAAACTCTGCATACAGATTCCAGCCGTCATAGTAAACTTCTGGGCGACTAGGAGGAGAGGAAATGCAGATATGTGTGTCGGGGGATCCATGTTGGAGAGAATAAATAGTGCAAGAGCTAACTGCTCTTCCCTGGTAGGAAATCACCAGATAACGTTGAAATCAATTTAAGAAATAGCACTGTTTACGTCTTTATTGATAAACATGAAGTTGATCACTGAAGAATGCCCTAACAGAGTTGATGGGTGTCTGTCCTGGGGGAGCGGGGATTGGCGGGTGGATTTGGTGGTGGTGGTGGTGGTGGGATGAGGAAGTTCTGCTCTTTGCTTCTGTTTTCTCAGTGAAATAAGCAAGGTCTATATGTACCTAAGGATGTTGGAGGTTTGAGGAGAATGAGAAGATACGAAATAGTCTTCTCGGTGAGTCTAGAGGCTGTCGGATTACAACGGGGGATGCTGAATGCCAATTTCATATTGGTCATCGCCCGGTCTGTTAATACCTCTTTCTGTCTACAGCTCAGATGTTTCCCTTCTGGCCACACCAAGTGCCAACAGACTCGGGATCATGCCCTTCCTCTTTCACCTGGATGGCCGCAGCACCGCCCCCCTTTAAGATTCCTACCTTCCGTTGCTGACCTTCCCCATATGCCACTTTTAAAAGAAAATATGATCAGTCACTTCTCTGCCTAATATCCAACGACGGCTGGTTCCCACGGTACTCAGGATGAGGCGGCAAGGGCCTCTGGTCCGGCCCTTGTCCTCACTTGGCAGCGCTCCCAAACTGGCGC